GACTGCTACCTGCAGAAACAGAAGCAGAATCCACTTCTCACCATACACAAAAACCAACTCAAGGTGGATCAGAGACCTAGAAAACCATAAATATCATAAGAGACAAACTGGAACCAATCTTAGAAGTCCTATTATATAAAGAGGATGGCAAATACAGCCAGAAATACACAAACAGGAGAGGATAAAATTGATGAATGAGACCTTCTGAAGGTTAAATCCCTGTGTGCATCAAATACTTTTTCCAACCAAGTGAAAAGAAATCCTACTGACTGGGCAAAAACACTTGGCAATGATATATCAGACAGGGTCTCATATCGAAAGAGTACAGAGTCCTACAGGGCCTCTACAAGAAAAAGATTAATAACACAATTACAAAATGGGCAAAAGACATGGAAAGAATTTTCACAGAGGAAATATCAGATGGCCAATAGACACATGAAGAAATGCTCAAAATCACCGGCAATAAGAGATATGCAAATTAAAACCACAATGAACTATTATATTACCCCAGTAGCAGTGGCAAAGTTTAACAGGACAGCAAGCAATACATGTTGGACAGGATGTGGAGAGATGGAAACTCTCATACACTGTTGGTGGGATTGTAAACGGAACAACCACTCTGGAAGGCAGTTTGGCATTTCCTGAAGAAGCTGAACATAGAAATTCCATATGACTCAGCTATTCCACTGTTTGGAATATACCCTGAGAAAATGATAAGAGAGACACAAACGGATATTTGCACACCTATGTTCCTAACACTGTTATTCACCATTACAAGAACATGGAAACAGACCAAATGTCCAACCACAATCGAATGGATTGAGAAACTGTAGTGCATTCACATGATGGAATATACTACACAGAACTCAGGAACAATGATTTTGAAAATTGCTACATAACCTGGGAGAGACTGGAGAGAATTATGGTGAGTGAATACTGCATTAGACCATTATTATAGAAATAGAAAACGTAGTAAACCATGTATGAGGATCCAATGGGGGAAAGGAGTAGCAGAGGAGTGAGGATGGGCAGGGGGAAATCCACGAGTTGCACAATTTGGTGGGTAGAAGGAGGGAGGTAAACGAAATGGGAAAGATCTAGTGGGAATCTGGAAAGACAGGGTAATGGTGGTAATAGTTTACTGGAGATTACTTTTATAAAACATCATTAATGGGAATGACTGCATGAAACACAATATAAATGAAGGATAGTGTGAAACACAATTTAGATGAACTTTGTAAGCAAATCAATTCAAAATAACATTTTTTTCAAAATAATATTTCTAAAGGGAAACCATAATAATAAAGTCTCCCTCCTCTGAAAGCCCACACCAACAAGTCTTTGCATGCTGTGTTCCTGATCATGATGCCTGGCACAAAGCAGGTCAATACATATTTGTTGGACAGATGGATAAATCATGGCTAATGTGTGCAACACACTTTAAAACAATTCAAAACAGCAGTGTGGGGAAAAGAATGTCAGTAATGCAAAAATAAGTGAAATAATAAGAAAGAACCAAGGCTTGGGTCTGCCATGATGGATAAAAGAGAATATGGATCATATATAATATAATAAAGCCTTTTCTTCCATTTCTAACTCAAAGCTTGTTGCTGGAGACCAAGAAGTTATATTCATTTCAGCTTTAAACCCAAACCAAGCCTACTACTGTGGAGTTCATGACTACTCATAGCGTCTTCTTGTTGTTATGTGCCACAGAGTAGACTATGAATCATACCAACTCTATAAACAGCAGATCTGAATCTTGTCCTATTCTGCCTCATCGTCATGATTTTGCAAATGCTACAGTCCACTATGACAATCTACAAGAGAAGCTACAGTCACTGTGACAGTCCACTATAACGATCTACCTGAGAGGCTCCAGTCACTGTGACAGTTCATCTTATTGAGGGGCTTCCTCTCTTTCTCTGACCCTCCACCTTTCCCAGCACAATCTCTCTTCCAAGGACTGGCACCTCCTGACAACATGTCCAGTTTTTAAGATGAAGCTTCACCACCCTTGCCTCTAAAGAGCACCGTGGCTGCACTCTGTCCAAGACAGCTTTGTTTGTTCTTCTGGCAGTCCATGATATATCCAGTATTCTTCCACACCACAACTTAAAGGCATCAATTCTTCTTCAGTCATCCTTATTCTCTGCGCCTTAGGGTTTCCCAGGCTAGAAATCTTTTATGCAGAGACTGCCCCATATTTCTTCCAAAGAGTAACTAGGAAATTTATACTGGCAGCTTTCCAGTTAGAAGCCAAATGCTTACCCCAATGCACCTTGGCATTAATCAGTCTATGTAATACTGTTCTTAGAGGTTATGCAGATGACACAGTTTTGCTTGCACCAAGAAAAGAAGCCTGAAACACTTGGTGCAGAAAATCAAAGAGTACAGTGTTTAATATGGATTGCATCTCCACCTCAAGAAAACAAAAATTGTCACCACTGGGCAAATAGGCAACTTCCTGACAGATAAAGACCAGAGTTGTCAACAATTTCATTTTAGTTGTATCAACAATCAACAGTGATGATGGTAGAGGCCCAGAAATCAAGATGTATCACATTGGGAAAATCTGCTGTAAAGGATCTCTTCAAAATGCTAAAGAGTGAGGATGACAGTTTAAAGACTAAGGTGCACCTAATGCATCTGAAAGTTGGACAAAGACTATGGAAGACCAAAGAAGTGAGAGAGATGATCCTCAAGGAAATGGTGCAGCAGAGATCATGAGGATAGCACAGGATAGAGAAGGTTCAATCTGTTCACAGGGTTGCTATGAGTCACAGTCAGCTCAATGGCACCTATCAATGACACGTTCTTAAAAATAGTTAAAAATTTCTATTAAAGAGTTCTTTAAATGAATATCAACTGTTGGGCCTGCAAAACTTTCACTACCCACCTCTATGAGCTGTAACAATAATTCTGCAATTATCAGAGGTCTTGCCTGGATCTGGTACCATAGGCATCACTCCTCCAGATGGAAGGGCACTTTTCTAAGCTGGCTTTTGTAAGAGGCCATTTCGCAACTAACCAGCTTGGTTTGACATTTTTCAGTTCTTTTTCGGACCAAAGAATGAATAACACAGTTTTACTATGTTATCCATCAACAGAAAAATCATTATCAGAGTAGATAAGAATACAATGTATCAGATTAATACCTGGACAGACTTGGAGGCTAGAAAGATGGTGTGTGCCTGTGTGTGTACACTTCAGAAATAGTTCTCTTAGACATACAGAAGCAACTGTTCATTTTCTATACTTCAGTACATAGATGTTAAAGATACTGTGAAAATAGCAAGTAATCTTTACTTCTGCCACAATCACTCCTTAGGAATATTTACAGAGTAAGAGAAATAAAAATTCTACTTGATGGGACTGCAAACTGCAGGGGCACTCTGATTTCCTCAGGGGGGTCCCAAAAAAAGAAAAATAGTTCAGACCCAAATGATAAACTAGTCTGTTTTTAAAGAAGCCTCAGTCCTCTTCCCTATAACATACAAAGCGTATTTTCACCAGTTTGTCCACAAGAGAAGACATTGAGATCTAATTAATTGGTTGGTTTTTTTTGGTTTTTTTTTTTTATGTGACTCTCTCAGAAATAGACCCAAAATGAAAGGTAACAAAATTGTCCCTTTTGGCTGGGTAAGGAAAAATCAATTTGTCCCATAGCTTTTTTTTTTTTTTTTAACTGTTGCATTTAAAGTACATCTTTCTGGTCAGGAACTGATTCATCTTCTCAGGAGTCAAAGCAAGCAAAAGTGTGAGGTGAGGGTTTTGTCTGTAACAAAGTAGGAAGGTCTTATACCCCTTATTCATTCAAGAAATAGATTCTGCTCTGTGCCATGCACCAAGTGAAACTGACATTCGATATCTATAGTCCTGAAGATTACAAGGGAGGTGATAAACCCTTTAAAAATTTACTGCCATGGGGAGGGGAGAGGTGCTGTATAAGAAAGGGTAACAGAGAGGAACTAATTAACAGTGGGGGTGGTGTGGGGCCAGAGATGGATGGTATGAAAACAGTGCCAGTTAAGCTGAGAGCCCATCAGCTCATCATCACTTTAGACAAGGAAAACCGGTTTGGGCAAATAACCCACCAGCGGGCTTTCAACTTTGCCTGTCAACACCAGACTGGGTGAAACCTCCCCTTTTCCAGCGCATCTGTCTTCATAACCATTTCTGTGACTATCATTGTCTGTCTGGTGTACCCAAACCCCATTACCTGAACACAGGAAGAGCTCACTTTATGATGATTTATTATAATCAGCAGCCTTCCTGTGGCCTAGAAACACCCAAAAATAATCTGCCAGAGGCATGAAAAATAGTGAGGCTGACTGTCAGCAAGAATAAACAGTCCCCAGGGTGGGCCAGGCATTTACTAGCTCAGGGAATCACAAGTCCTTCACATAAGCAAGTGGCGGCTCCTGTGGGCAGCAAGGTGGCTCCCACACTCCTGGTGGATTCCAAATGGGGGCATACCCCTGTGGGAGCATGACCGCTACCTGCCAACTTGGAACTTATGTTTCATCAATCAAGGGCTGGTCATCGTCCCCGGTCCCTGAGTCTGCCACCTGACAGGAGGGTGTGGGCAATGGCCTCCAAGCGTTGCTGAGCCGAGGGCAACCCCCCCCCCCAGCAAGAGGCAGCGCCACGGGGGTGACGCGCCAGGCCGGGACCCTGGCGGCTCTGGGCCCCCTCCGCGGCCGAGCTCCCGCATCGCAGGGCCGGGGAGGACGCGCGGGCGAGCAAACGGCCGGCCCCGAAAACGAGCCACACCCCCGCCGCCGGCCCCATGGGTGCCCTGGCTCAAGAGAGGACGAGCCCGTCAGGGGACGGGCTTGTCAGGGGACGAGCTCTCAAAGGGACCGGCTCGTCAGGGACGGGGTCCGAGGGGACAGCGCGGAGCCCGGGGCTGCTGGGGGGGGGGGGGGGGAGGCGCGGGCCCCGCCCGGGCCGCCGTCCTGGGACCCGCTGCGCCGCGGCTCACCACCCGCACTCACCCATTGGCGCGGAGCCGGGCCGGGCCGCCGAGGCAGCGTGAAAGTTGGCAGAGGCGGGCGCGGGGGTCGGGGCAGGGGAACGGGCGAAGCGACGGCCGGACCGGATTCCTACTCTGTCGCGGCGGCGGTGGCGGCTCAGCGCCGCCCGCTGCTGCTGCCTCTGTTGCTGCTGCTGCGGCCGGTGCTGCCCCGGGGCGGCTCCTGCTGCTGCTGCTGCTGCTGCCGCTGCCGCTGCTGCATCGCGGCCGCTGCGCCCGGCTGCGCCGGGTTTCCTGCTCCCCGCGAGTGGAAATTGCGAAA